ATATATATATATATATATATATGGAGTAACTAGTATATGTCCAAGGGCTGATGCAATAGTATACACCCAACGGCTCAGAATGAATATGGATCTATCTAACGGCCACAGTTGTATTTTATATTTGAATTGTAATATTTTTCTATAGATTCAAATTAGGGGTATTTTGGTCTATTTATTTTTTTATGAATTATTTAATATTTTATTAATTGTGCTTATTTTTCAAAAGTACACATTTAAAATTTCAAGTGATTTGGAATTGTAGAAACAAATTAAAATTCAAAGATGAAACACAATTGTGGTCGTCTGGCCTAGCTGTTGCTATTGCATCATATCAAGTTACCTAATAAGGTGATTTACATCCTGGAGCAGTGACATGAACCACCATTATTGCATCTAAAGCACATACCTTTTTTTCTGAAAATTTTAGCTAGGGATGGCAATCAGTACTATCTCTCTCTTTCGCCTCTCTCATTCACATTTTGCTCTTGCCTTTTACCTGGTTTCATCTTCAAGCCTTGTCATCTGTCTCACATCCTCTTCAATGATGGCAAAAAAGAAAAAGAAATCCACCTGCAACTACGAATCCCCATGTCTCTCTCCCTCTTTCACGCGAAACAAAAGCACAAAATTTGGCTAGGTAGCTTTCTGAGCTCTCCCTCAACCACCGACTGTCCCCCAAGTCTAAATGAATAGTGGAAAAAAGTTATTGAGGACTTTTTTATTTTTATTTTTCTTTTCTTGGAAATCAAGAAAGCCTTAACCTACCTTTGTCTACAAAATGGTAAATGAGGAAAGACGAGAGTACTAGAAAAAACTTAGTACACGCTTGCCATCATTGCACAACATTTAGATAAGATGAAGAAGCAACCAGTTGACTTTCTATTTCTGTTTAGTTTTGCAGTAACTGTCCACAAACGTTACTTGTTAATCCATGCCTCAGGTGTCCAATTTTTTTCCTTAGCTGGAGATGATAAAGTCATTCCACTTTCTTTCTACTATTGTTTGCATATGACAATGTTTATATTAAGATTGAACTCTTAACAGCTTCAACTCCTACTTAACCTTTCTCTCTAAATCCTGCATTCACAATTAGTAAGTATTGTCTTGGATGGTTCCAACTCTTAAGCCATGCTTATTTCTTCCTGGGCACTTATCAGCTGGTTTACTATCTGTACTCTCAGTATCTGAGAATCAAGAGACCGACATCTGTTTTCTCCTATTAACTCTCTCTTTTTAATTCCCTGTTATTGACATGCCAACCATTAAGGTGTATTTTGATCTATGCACACCCTTTCTGTGCTGCTGCAGCTTTGTCTCATCTGTCCACATTCCAAGAAAGATCCTTCTATTCCGTAATAATGCCAAAACCTTCTCAACATGAACATGGCAGAAATCCTTAGAGAAAAGATCATCTGTTTTTCCCTAATGATGAGTTCACTTTGTTCCGTAGTCATAATTGTTCTGTTCTTTCAATAGATAAGCATTGATTTGCATGTTGAATAGTTTCAAACCATTAGATTTTGGGGAGTCACACCACCCCCATAATGACAATTAAGATGTCTCTCAATACAGTATATGCTATACTGACATTATAAGTGAGCACATTATTCTTTCCTGTTTTATATAGTCTTAATAAACTTTGCGTCAACATGAATTCGTATTCGTTGTGTTGAGCTCCCGGCTTGTGGGTCCACCCTTCAATGTAATAAGCCCTTGACAGAAACACGATATCGACCTTTTTGTAAAAGTTAACCTTTCTACCAAAAAAAAAAAAAAATTTAAAAAATAAGACGGAGAAAGATAAAAGGAAACTACTAGAGGTTACATTCATTGACAACTATTAACTTGGTATGTCTTGGTATGTACGTTTCAAGAAGCATGGGTTGTACGTGAGGTACATTACTGAGGAATGGGTAGTGTGAGGTTACAAGCCACAGACAACTATTAACTTGGTATGTCTTGGTATGTACATTGCAAGAAGCATGGTATTTACGTGAGGTACATTACTGAGGAATGGGTAGTGTGAGGTTACAAGCCATAGACAACTATTAACTTGGTATGTACGTTGCAAGAAGCATGGTATGTACGTGAGGTACATTACTGAGGAATGGGTAGTGCATGCACCATAGATTGTTTTCCTCGGTATCTCACATGTTGGGAGGGAGTGTGTTTCCCTTTCTGCTTTTCTGGGGTTGTGGCAAAGCACGTTAGATTTTCAAATATCTCTTTATCCAGTCTGTATCCTCTGATATGCTTCTCCCATTAGTTTCACATTTAATTAGAAACCTTAAATCAACACCTAATATATTTAATTTTTTCATTTTTTGTCTCATTCTTTTGGTAGAACGCATCTTGCTATTTCATAATTAGTAGGACCGAAGACTTTGAGGTAGCTCTCATTTGTCATGGCACATGCAGACTTATATTGTTATTGGATTGTTAGTTTTTAGGGGCCATGTTATTTAGTAGTACGGTATGTATCATCAAAAGGTCTAAACCTTCTGCGATTGCTGATCCAACAATATGTTTAAAATCTTGTTGCATGAATTCTGTTTGTCTGTTATCAAGCATAAAAAGTGAAGAGTAAGATAATTCCTGTCTTAACTAGTGTGGGTAACTAATAGTGATTAGTTAATAAATATTTCAGGTTCTCGGGAATGCCAAAGGTGCAGTGGCTGTAGTGGTTTCCATTTTACTCTTCAGGAATCCTGTCTCTGTGGTGGGAATGCTCGGCTACTCAATCACAGTGTTTGGGGTCATTCTTTACAGTGAAGTTAAGAAGCGAAGCAAATGAAGGGAGCAGCCTATCTTTCTAGAAGAATAGAATAGCGGGGCACATGGCTCTTCACTTCTCTCGTCCAAGTTCAAGTTTTGGAGGCTCGTATTGGTTACGATGCGTATGTGCTCTATTCTTTTTTCTTGGGAACCTTAGGGGGTTCCCAATCTGTATCAACAGAGAGACCAAGTTAACGGATCAATATCCAAAAAAAGAAAAAAAAATTAAATAAGAGGGATGTTCTTTTATCTCTTGGTGGTTCTTGGGCATTCTTGGTTCTAACCAGGCTGTCATGGAGGAATGGATGCCTTCAATTCTTTGAAGAATTGGCCTTCTCAATTGGCTTGTGTGTTATTACGATAAATGTTCTCTTTTGATTTATTAATGGAAGATGGTCCTCATGTTCTATTCCCATATCTGAATATACTTCTGATACAAGAATATATGGTTGTGCGTGGAATGATTGGATTGTTTTCTGCCTACATCATCGTAGGAACGTACCTGACATCTTCCTCAATTGCCTTTTCTTGCAATTCAAAATATGAGAATGGAGCTATGGTCGTGGTGGAAGTGCGACATGCCCTTCAGTTAAAGGTCACAACCTCCATTCTCACTAACACGTAAAAAAAAAAATTGGCTCTTTCCAAAACGGGTAGGGGATGCAATGCTGATTTACCAAAAAAAAAAAGAATACAATTGGAATATTTGACCCTCTTGTATGATATTATTACCTGACTTTTCTTATTTTTAGGATCTGAAACACGTTCCAAGTCATTGCAAATGCAAATGCATTTTGCATTTCTGACTTAGATTACCTAAAAAATAATGCAGATTTGTTATTTAGAAGAATTAAAAATTAACAGCTGCAAAATATAAGTTCAAATTCAAAATAAGCAATTTTCTTTGCAGATTCATAACCGAGGAAGTTTGGATTCAAAATCCGTTTCTAGGATGGATGCACTTAAATAGACCAGTGATGCATTGAAAACCAGCCTTAAAAGAGTGGTGAGTATATGCCATGCCAGGGGGACTGCCATTGCCCGTTTCTAATGTGCAATGATGACTGGTGATTAACCGCACCTAGGTGAATTGTGGTTTACATCTGCTATCCATCATTAGATACGCATCATCAATGTTGTGTCAAAAAGTAGGCTACCACATCCCTAACCGTCCGATTTCAATGATAGATGGCGGGCTGGGTTTTATTGTTGACATTATTGAATGGTCGATGACATTCTGAAATAAAAAGGGCCGCAACCTGATGTATGTAGGGACTCGAGAAGGGTGGGTCGGAAATGATTCTAACCTTAAGCTTTTTATGCACAAAATGACTGCTTTCAGGATTCGGCTCTTGCGCTACCTACCCGAACTTTTTACCATCACAGCAAGTGATGGTCCCTCGAAGACATTTTGAAATATTGTAACTCAATTTGTATCATGGAATACATTCCCGTATCCTTTTACATAAGTATGACCTTAGCTGTTCTCTATGGATGTTCATACTCTCGAGTTCTCTTTTTTATTTCCACCTAAACATTGAGGGAGAATAAAGAATCAGGCTAGCTACAATTTCTTTTCGGGTATGTGTGGATGAAGATGGCAAAAGCGTGAGTGTTGAATGGTATTTTTGGACAGTTTTTATTAGGCCTAGGCGTTATGAAAAAAGAGAGTACATGCTTACCTCGAAACCTTGTCCGGAAAACACTTTGGGCATGACCTCAAAACCTTGTCCAGAAAACACTTTGGGCATGAGAAATCTCTACGATAGCTTTACAATCAAATTCCAACACTGATTATGAAATTGTAGCTCAAAAAATGGAAGAGATCTTACGCATCCGTGAATACTTGAAAATGAAGGGTCCATATGATGTGTTATATAGTATTTTTATGGCTCGAAATCCTAATTTTTTTCCCAACCATAATGGCCAAGGTTGATCCAAATAATGCGTTACAATATAAAGTATTTATGATTTGAAATCCTAATTATTTTTTACACCCATAATGGTCAAGGTTGAGATGATAGATTTCAAGGTTTTTCGATACCGGAACTGTCAGAGTTTTGGCTTTTTAATGCTTTGACTCCGCCATTCCAAGATAGTTCTGGGTCACAGTAGGAGTGAATTGGAACGCTGCACTTACCAAATTTTAGTGAACTGAGATCCGAAAAGTCAAAATACTTGGAGTCATGAGGCAAGATCAGATGGCCTTATTCACAACCCAGAGGTTTGAGGGTCTCTGCTAGTTAGAGTCAGTATGAGAATGTCTCATGTGTGTGTTAGCTAGGGCATAAGAGATAAGATCAGAGAATATGATATGTCAGAGAAAACAAGGGAGATTAAATCTTGTGTGAGTAGACTTGGCTTTGAAAGAACATGAACCTAAATCCCTGAGAACTCAGTTAACTCACAGCATGGGCATAGGACAATCACAAATGGGACGTCACTCTAAACACGTTGATCCTCTTAATGAGAGCTATACACATGTGCTAGAGAGATGACCACTACATCCATGAAATGGTAATAATAATGATTAAATCTTACCCATTCTATGATAACCATAGATGGTGATGAACCCAGGCTAGGATTGCCTCTCTCAATCCTTGGATAACTAATTTGATAACTAAGATTCAATCTAGGTTAAGTCCATACAAGAACCCCATATATTTTTACTCGCCCTAATCTTTTTCAATACTTAGAGCAATTTTGTGAGAGAGAATAGGAGATCCAAAAAGGGGCACACCCCACCTTCTTCCTTTGAGAAAATTCTTCTGTCAAGCTTAGTGAATAGTACATTAAGAGGGATGAATATTGCATTGAAGAGCCATACAATACTTTTGTAGGCTCAAGCTCCCCTCTTGGTGATTTTCTCCCATCATCTTGGCAAATCAAACCCTGATGTAATCTCCAAATTAGTGAGGTATAACTCCTTTAGTCCATTTTATGCCATCTAATTCATGCTCCCAATATTAGGTTTCAAATTATTGCACGTGTAGTCTTTCCTTGAGAATTTGCAGTAGTTCCCTTCCATATCCTTGTGAATATATGCTGCTGAGAACTTCTAAATTCCAAAGTCATAACAATGACCTCTTTGGATCTATATTAATTCAAGATATATCTTCAAGATTTTGTCATGGCATCTCAATAAGAGTACCTATCTCCATAGTTTTCTTGCACCATGCCTAGAAAGCTCATTCTTCTTTCACATCATTAAAGTCTCCGACTTTATTCCCCCATGTGGTTCATTTGGCCCTCATTTTGAGTTTGATTAGAGTATTAAGAACCCCTTCGCTTGAAACGCTTTTACGGTGCATGCCTCCCATCTTGATTGAATCTAAGCCTCATTCTCTTGTGTTATTGATAGAAGTTATAACAAGGGTTGAACATAAGTCCGTGGGGCTCATCTCGGCAAATTTTGAGGGAATTTTATCAGCTTCTCATGCCATTGACTAGTTGCATATGCATTGACTTCATACGAGTGTTTTTCATCATCCTTAATCTTTAATTGCTATTATGCTTATATCATTTTGATTATTATTGCTTCCTATATACCAAAGTTTGTATCTAACGATCTTCTTAGCTTTGCCCCTTTTCACTTTTTTTTTTTTTTGGGGTGAAACAGTGGAGAGAGGGCCCCTACCTTTTGTAGGAATTGAGCCTAGGATGCATCATTGTAAATCATCAAGATGTGGCAAATTTTTACGTTGGTTGCCCTACTCAACACAACCCCCTTCTTTTACCCAGGCATGGGACTAGCATGACCCTCATGGGGCTGGTCATGATGTAGTTAAAATGTATTTTAGTTACAGTTTTTATCAAACTATTTTTTATTTTTTTAATTTGATTCTCTTTATAAAAACTATTTTACACCTCAAACTTCAAATAAATATAATTTATAAATAAAGGAAAAATAAAAAACACAGGGTTTTAAAAAACAGTCTGCCCGGCGCCCGCCTAAGCTGCTTGACCAAATAAACCACATGCTTCGACCCAGGCGGCCCTACATGGGCAAATGTACCTAGGTGGGCGCCCAACGCCTAGGGCTGTAAGGCATTTTCGATTTTTAAATTCGCTCAAAAGGGCAAAGGGGCTCATTTTGACCCCCAAGTTTGCATAAAAATATTATGGGGTTTATTTTTGAACCCCCAAAGTGAAAAACAAAGAAAAGAAACCCTCAATCTCTAACTTTTTTGTGAGAATCTGAAGTAATTTCTGAGAATCAAAATTACTTTTTGTGGATTGAAAAAGTTTTCTTTTCTCATTGAAATTGTTTTTAGGGTGCTATTGGTGGCATTATAAGACTTTTGAGTTAATTTGTAGCTCGATTGAGGTAACTAACATCGAAGATCAGAGATTGGGCAGAAAAGGTTAGTCTGTAATATTTATTTGAGTTTTATTTTTCCAATTTGAGATGTCTTCTGTGGGGTCTAGTAGGGGTGGAGATCCAGGATGGAAATATTGTGTTCACCCTAATAAGAATGACATGAATAAAATTATGTACAATTTATGTGGATATGTTTCTAATACCGGCATAAATAGATTTAAAAAACATCTTGCTGGTATTAGAGATGATGTTGCCATATGTAAGAAAGTCACAGATTTTGTAAAGAAAGAAATTTTGGAATACATTGAAGGCGAAAAAAGTAAAAAAATTATATAAAAAAGGATATAGCAGAATTAAAGTCAGGATTTCATGTTTTTTATGATAATATTAATACTAAATAAGAGGATAAAGAAGGGGAAGAAGAGGTTGCCATGTTTGGTACTCAGAGCTCTAAGAACAAGATGACTTTTGGGTTTAAGAAGCCTCATATGAGAGGGCTTATAGATAGTTTTTTTACACCTAGCCCTGAGACAATACTTGAGAAAGGCAAGGGATGAAAGGCGAAAAAACAATTGACAATTGAAAATAGATTTAAGAAAGAAGATAGTGCCAGGGTGATTCAGTATATTGCTAGATGGTTTTACCATGTGGGCATTTCTTTTAAAAATGCTCATTAGAATAGCTTTCATACAATGTTGAAAGCAATTGGGCAATTTGGGCCAGGTTTGAAAGCTCTAACTCCTTATGAGATTTGAGAGCCCCTATTGAAGAAAGAAACTGAGTATACTAATGAATATCTCAAGAGCCAAAATGAGGGACGGGCTAAATTTGGAGTTTATTTAATGATAGATATGTAGAGTGATAAGAGGAGGAGTAACATGAATTTGTTAGTAAATTGTCCCACGGGTACAATTATTTTGTGCTCAATTGATGCTTTCAATGCTATTCATGATGCACATTATATATTTTCTTTCATCGATAAGGGCATTGAGGAGTTTGGGGAGGAACTTGTAACTTAAGTGGTCAAAGATAATACTGCTCCCAATCTAGCTGCAGGTCATTTGCTTCAACAGATGAGGCCTCACATTATTTAGATTCCTTGCGTTGTATATTGCGTAGATCTTATGCTTGAGGCCACTAGTGAATTGCTTACTATTAAATGAATTATTTTTAAGGTCAATGAGGTTATAATCTTCATGTACAATCACATACTTACCCTTAACATGATGCGCAAGTTTACAAAATAAAGAGAGCTAGTGAGGCCTGGTGTCACTAGATTTGCCACTGCCTACATTAGTTTACAGAGCCTATATAAGAGGAAGATCACATTAAGGTCGATGTTTGCTTCAAAGGAGTGGAGTAGGTGTAAGTGGTCTAGAGATGTTAAGGGAAAAAAAACACGGGATATTGTTTTTTCAAAATATTTTTAACGTGAGGTAAAACATGAGATATTAGTATTTATTCCCTTGGTATGCTTGGTTGATGCTGATAAGCCCTCCATGGGCTTTATATATGATGCAATGGAAAGGGCTACGAATGAGATTGCAGATAATTTGGGCAATGATGTAGCCAAGTATGTCTCAATTTGGGAGATTATATATGACAAATGGGATAGGCAGTTCCATAGATCATTGCATGCAGCGGGGTACTACTTGAACCCTAAATTCTTTTATGCAGATGTAGATATTGAGTCAAAATGATTAATGATGGAAGGTTTTAATAAGTGCCTTGAGAAATTAGGTCCCGATCCACATATCCAAGATAGGATATCAAGTGAAGAGCTAATTTCGTACAATTGTTCTTTGATGTCATTTGGGAAAGATATGACATTAAGACAGAGAAACAAAGATGATCCAGGTAGTATTCTTTTGACTTTTGTTTTATAAATTATAATTTTCTTTCAAGTTTCAACTTTCAAGTTCTGATAATGTTAAATACCTAAATTAATTATAAAGGTTGCCCACATATTGCAGCCCAATGGTGGAGACAACATAGGATTAACGCTCCAAACCTCCAAAAGATGGCTATACGGATCTTGAATTTGACAACAACCTCTTCTGGTTATAAGCGCAATTAGAGTTCGTTTGAGATGGTATTTTATAATTTTATAATTTTATATGCTTTTCTTGTTTATATGTTCATTTTGTAATATAGATTCATATAAGGTAAGAAGATCATAGACTCATAGTAGTTACTTATGCATTTTTCCTTATATAGATGCATTTTTCCTTGAGCAAAAGAAGCTCAATGACTTGGTTTTTGTTAGTGAGAATCAAAGGCTCAAGGAGAAGAAAAACTAGCCAAAGAAGGATCATATCTCTTTGAAAGACATGAAGAATGCTTTAGATTGGCTAGTTAGTCACCCTAGAACTGAGGAGGTATTCCCTGGAGAGGGTTTGACATGGGAAATGGTCGAGGAGGCTTCGGGACAAGCTTCTGATCCTAAGAGGGCCACTCGATCAACTTCTCCTGCTGGTACTTCACGGAGGGCGATATAGGAAGATGAGGCAGATTTAGAAAAATCTCTAGAAGAAGAGGAATATGTTGAAGAGGGTGATGATTCTGACGTTGACAGCCTCAATTCTGATGCAGATCAAAGTAATGAAGATGTTGATTCTGATTCTTATTGATGTCTTCTCTCTTCTTTTGTAGTAACGTTATTGCACCATCTTGGTTTGTGCTTTAGACATTTGGACTATTTTTATTTTGTTATTTTTTTTTTCTTTTTGGACTATTTTGCTGTGTGGTTTACTGGTTTTTTCATATTTTGGAAGCCAGTTGAAGAGAGTTGGAGATTTGGATGTTATTATTGTTTATTTTATGGATATAGAATACCGAGAAGATGAGAGTTGAAGACCTTACAAAGTCCTATTAGACTTTTAAATGTTTTGTATAGATTGAAATTTGGAATAAGTTTATTCTCAACTTGAGGTATGTGATATGTTGGTATATAAAAATGTAGGTTGCGAACTTGCGATATTTTTAAATAGAATAAATTACAAAATTTGACACAAATATATGCATATATGAGCATTTGAAAAGCAAATATATAAAAAAATACTAAAATTTTGCACCACAGGGTGTCGAAGGTTTTGGGTGCCAGCCAAGATGCTGGGCACCAGGTAGGCCGCCTAGGGGCCAACTATTGTTTTTTTGAAACCTTAAAAAAAAACAAAATTCTTTCGTAGCCCTCATACGAAGTTAGGATCAAACGGAGTAATTGTAGAGTGCTTGTGCACCTTTGAGGCATCCACATGCTATGAGAAAAAAAAAAGTTTATTTTTAATAGAATAAGCTCACAATCATCTCTAATAGTGAAGATGTAAAATTGCGCTCTTAACACTCAAAAAATTTCTCACTCTGCAGCATATTTCATTTGAGATTTTATAAGTAAGAGCTAGGGATCATTGGGACCTAAACGACCAAAGGACCGCGCCCCATGTAAAAGGGTTTCATGCAAGTAGGCCTTGTATACAAGCGTGGCATCCCATCCATAAAGTGGGGAATCTACCTTTGGTTCTCAAGATCCTAAGGTTGAGATAAACACACCCATTCCGAATCTCGAGAGATCTTTACCGTCCATCTCATATACATGCTATAATATTTACCATACACATTACCCCATCTCCCTCTGTATCTGATGCAACGAGCCCTTACCTGTATCTGCTAGAGCGAACCCTTCACTCTCTGTCTCCATGATGCATCATGTAAAACCACTTGAATTTCTCCTGATTCACAACTGCAACATTCTCAACCCTAGCATGTCTAAAAGCTTCTTCAATGTCTTCTCCTCAACCTTTTCAACTCAGTCTTATCGCACCTCTCTTCCCTTAAATCATAGCCCTCTCCACATTCCAAGCAGTTGCGATGGTTCTTATACATTATGTTCAGTAAGAGGGAGAAAGAGATGGAATCACCGTCCTTTTCCATTGCCCCACCGCACCATGCCCGAACCCAAAGGCCAAGACTTGGACTTCATTAACTTTGTTCACAGTCATCTCATCCATTTAGAATGGCCGAAGCTCAATTCTTTAGCTCATGGATTGACCCCCTTTAGGGTAAACCACATACTGGTTAAAACCCAGAAAGATCATGTTCTCTCTCTGGAGTTCTTCACGTGGGCCCAGCAAACTAACCCAAATTCCCAAACCTTAGAAACCCACTCCATAATTCTTCATATTCTCACCAAGTCAAGGAAATTCAGATCAGCAGAGGCCCTTTTGAAGAAGAGCATCATCCCCAAATGTTTAGATTCATCTTCTGATCTCTTCGATTCATTGGTAAGCACTTATCGTCTCTGCAACTCTTCTCATAGAGTATTTGATGCTCTCTTCAAGACTTATGCTCATATGAGCAAGTTTAGGGACGCTACTGATACGTTTTGTAGGATGAGGGATTATGGGTTTCTTCCAAAGGTTGAGTCTTGTAACGCCTATATGAGCACTTTGCTTGGGTTAAACAGATCAGATATTGTGTTGTCACTCTATAGAGAGATGCTGAAGTGTAGGATTTCTCCTAATATTTATACCCTCAATATGGTTATTTGTGCTTATTGTAATTCTTCGAGAATTGAGAAAGCTGTGGAAGTTTTCAGGGAGATTGAGAAAGTGGGTTGCAGGCCAAATGTGGTGTCCTTTAATACTCTAATTGATGGCCACTGCAAAATGGGGCTCTTGAATGCTGCCATGAAGCTCAAGAGCTCTATGCCCAATAATGGTTTGTACCCCAATGTTGTCACCTATAACACTCTCATTCATGGGTTGTGCAAGAAAGGCAAGCTACATGAAGCTAACAAACTCTTTTGCGAGATGAAAGCGGCAAATGTGGCTCCAAACACTGTTACATACAATAGTTTGATAAATGGGTGTAGTGAATTTGGGGATAGTGAGATGGGTTGTCAGCTTCATATGGAAATGGTCAAGAATGGAGTTCCAGTCGATATATTGACATATAATTCATTAATTCTTGGGCTCTGCAAAGATGGAAAGACGAGAAAGGCATCTTATATTGTCAAGGAAATTGGGGACAAGGAGGGACTGGTTCCTAATGCATCAACTTTTGCTGCTCTGATAACTGGGCAGTGTAAGAGGCAGAACACAGAGCGTGCTTTTCAGCTGTATAAGACCATGATAAGAAGAGGGTACCATCCGAATTCTGATACTTTTATTACTCTGATATCTTCCTTTTGCAAGAATGAGGATTTTGAGGGTGGTGCTCAGATTTTGAGAGAAATGTTGGATAGAGGACAAGCTCCTGATTCCACTTTGTTTGTTGAGCTTTTTGAGGGGCTTTGTAGGTGCGGTAACAGCAAAATGGTTGAGAGGTTACTGAGGGATATGGAGGCAAGGCGCCTGAATAGAGAGGGTTTTGATGAGTCTATGCTCATGAAAATGTCATCTGGAAGTAATAGATGAAATCAAACTGGATACATCTTGAAGAAGAGATTCGAGTATTGGATGAATTGTTCATCATGAAAATTTAAGAGCGTGACTCTTTATGGTTGTTCTACCCAAGTTGGCGTGGCCTTTGCAATTGAAGTTTGGTGTGAGGATGACTGTTTTAATGAGTATGAAGAAGAAAAAAGCAATGCTGATCTGGGCAGATCTAGAAAACCATTGAAATTAGGTGCTTTTAAGTTTTTAATGTTGATGAATACTACTTCAGTCAGTGAAGACTGCAAATTGTTGGTGGTTGCTTTGCTGATATCTTCATTCTTCTGCAGATCACTCATTCAAGAGCACACATGGTTGATCACAAGAAGAGATGAAAGTGTTTCTTTGCACTGTTGTTAACATTCATTGGGTAATGGCAGGGTAGCAAACTTAATGGTTGCCCTGTGGTTCAATTTGCTGCTACTCCAAAGGGTTGATCGCTATGGAAGATGTGTTCCCATCCCATGTTATGGAGCATTTGGAGGCAACAGAATGGTCAAATGTTAAGAGAAGCTCATACATCTGATCCAAGAGAAAGATATAATAGGAGAAAGATGCTTACACTGGATTGCAATGTGTGTCCAAGGCATGATCATCTCACCAGACATTACTTGGCTTCTTTTTTGACAAGGTTTTTTGGGATATTAATATCTTACTTGTTAAGAGATTAGCGCGTGAGAAGTAGTGAAGGCCACCACACAAATAGCTGCTTGAAGGTTATTATGACAGATGTTCTTGAGGCAACCTGTGGCACCAGCCGGTATCTATGGGATTCTTTGGAATGCAAGGTGTATGTGCTCAAATTTTCCTGTGGCCTTTGGGTTGTTTTGGCTCAACTCTGGTAAGATCAAATCGCTTATGTTCGATTTGAAGATTAGTTGTATCTCTAAATTTTCCATATTATTGTGGATAGAAGTTTATCGAATGTGATATAATATTTGAGGTGCATTCTCTATGGTAAATGGCTATGGTGTTTGAGGAAGTGAGGAAGTGCGACTCCTGTCTGAGCGAATTTTCATTTCGTTTGTCCATACCATCTGAGTAGTGAATGGCAAAAAGAGGTTATTGTAGCAACAAGGAATGTACATTTAATCAGATGATTGTTGACAAGAGGATGGTGTCTTGGCTGTGAGATGGCATGTTGACATCTCCATATGTTTTGTTATTATTGGTAATATTTCTCTTGTAGATTATATGTTCAAGCTTACCTTATGAGATTTATGAAGACATTATGCACAAGGGATAGAGATGTCAAAGAAAGATATTGATTTTGCAATCAGTCTACTTCAAAAAAAAAAGGTGTTGATTTCGGAAGACACCTATGTCAAGTGTTTTAATGTTCCCCCAAAAGGGAATGGGGATGATTGACAAAGTTGTACTAATAGAGAGTTTAATTGCATGGGAACAGGTTTACCTTGATGTATCGTTCGACATCCTTGCCGATTCTAAGGAGAAGTGTGTTCTTCATATAGTGTTAAGATGGCTGAACCCTGACTCATTGTTTCTGTGAAGAAGAACTTACCTGCAACTCTTGAGTTGAATATTTGCTATAAATTGTGAATTATCAATAAAATATGATTATTTGATTACTATTTTGTACTTTTCATATATATGACCCAAAACACAGAGCAGGAATCCCAGGCATAATCTCTGAAACTTAAGCCCTGTGAGAAGTTCTGATTTCCAACACTTCTTATGTGTTCAACCTTTATTTGCTTTTCTAGAGGAATCCTAGGAGATTGTTTGTTAGATAGTCGTGCGGTATTGGTAAATGTATGGAAAGCTGAAAATGTCTTACAATATTGAATTTACTGCGTAGATAATTTATATTGTTTTGGTAAATGTATAGAAAGCTGAAAATGTCTTACAATATTGAATTTACTGCGTAGATAATTTATATTTTGGTCCTAGGGCTTTTGTAAAATTATGAATTTAACATTCAGTCAATATTTTCTTTTGCTTTATGATGCTGTTATGTACACTTGTGAACATAACATATTGATCCCAAGGATTAGGGAATTTAAGATGTTGATCTTAGAATTTATTCATTTTAATGCTGTTATCATTACAGCAGCTTATATTGTTATTATAGAGCTTTGCCTTGCCACTTGGGCATACTGTGGTGCCTTAGGGTTTGATTCATTTGTTTGGTTGACATTGATTGGTGAATGATAATACTGCTTTAGAGACCAAATATTCACTTAAGATTTGGTGATGAGAGTTTTTGTAATGTTTTATGGTGTGTTCATTATCATTTCTAAGATTGATGACCCATATGACTTGGGAAATAGTATGGCCACAGGAGTTCATGACTGTCACATGGTTAATTTGAATGATGGTGGTTGCAGAGTAAGTCCCACCAAACATGTCATTATTTCGAAGTGCAATTTTTCTCACACCATCACCATGTCACCAATTGATGGAGGATGGTGATAACCCTATGAACATGCTGTTCCATGATGTGTCTAAGTATACCGACACTAGCGGATGGCTACTATCATCCAAGGGCTCACTGCCCTCACATGCTTTCTAATTTCAGGGAGACTGATGGAGATAAGTTCATTGTATTTAACTGTCAATTTCTTCCAATACTTTCTGAGATGCTAAATGAAACTATTATTGATAAAATCTGCAATTAATGACCTATCGGTTTATTCGAAATGAACTACTGATTGATTGATGCATCACGAGGCATCTTTGACTAGCTTGTTGCCTAGCAACATGGGGATCAATGTTGGGCTTATGATATACTCATGCAAGGAGGCCTTGGTATTCAACATCCTTTTCATTAGCAATGTCGTCTCTAGTTCTTTCCTTTAGATGTCTGTAATATTTGTGTTTGGAATTTAATATTTTCCAATAATAATTCTTAGTTTAGGATATTCTGGTGTGCTCTTATCTTCTTGCTACTCAGTTGGGGCACGGGCAATCTCCTAGTAGTCAGAATTGCTCATGTTTGAATGCTAATAATTCAATTAGTTTGGACATATTGTGATTGTTAAATTGTGGAACATTTTCATTGGTTCTATGAATGTATACTCTTTCTTTTTTATCTTGATATGCATATAGATGTGACTAAGTTCAAAGAAATTACAAGGGGCATATTTCCCTTCTTTGCAAATAAGATTTATAGAAAAACAACATATCATCAGATTCATCAAAAAAAAAAAAAATCATCAGATTGGCCATAAACCAAACCACTCGGGATCTTTCTCGGTGGTCTCATTTTACTCCTTTCTAGCCCACCCCCAAAACCCCAACCACTCTCGCACTTCTATTGTGAATAAAGTTTGGATTCCCCTTGTCCCCCCCAAAATCCAAATTTTCAATTGGATAGCTGTGTCTGAGAGAGCCCTCACAGTGGACCAACTACAAAGGAAGGGACTCCAAATCCCAAATAGATACATCATGGGATACATTATGTGTACTGAACAAGAGGAGAGTAATGCACATCTCTTCATCCACTATAAGATAGCCGTGTCCATTTGGACTGAATTCCTTCAGTTATTCCAATGGAAGTGGGTAACTCCACCAGATGTCCCTCATCTCCTCAGCTCAATTTCCCCAACCCCTTGGCCCAGAGCTGGCACACTGCTATGGCAGGCTTCGGTGGTTGCCACAGTTTGGAAAATCTGGACTGAGAGAAATGCCAGAATATTTCGAAGCCAAAGATCTTCTTTAGATGCTCTGATTGAAAAGATCAAAACCGCAGTCATTTTCTGGACTACCCACCAAAAGCACTTCAGAAACCTTTGCCACTCTGATTTCCTTCACAGTTGGGCTTCCATTCTTTTCTACAAACCTCAGCGGCTCCCTCACTCTTACCTTCGGAGAACACTCGAAGTAGGCCAAATCAAACTTGACTTTGATGGGTGTTCCCTCGGAACCCTGGCCTTGCAGGCATAGGTGGCTTATTTCTTGACCATGACAGCAATACCTTTTGCTCCTTTCCATGCCTATAGGTGTATCAGATTCAACATTTGCGGGAGGCCTCAGCCCTCCGGGAAGGTCTCAGGAAATTTGACATTACTTGGGGGCAGTCTTTAACTATCGAAGGGGACTCTTACAGTGTGATTTCCTGGGCCTCATGCTCTACCCCCTGGCCTTGGAGGCTTGACAGTATATTTGAGGAGATTGGTCAACTCACAAGGACACTACAAATCTTGTGGATTCACATTTGGAGAGAAGCTAATGGTGAGGCTGACTCCCTAGCATAGGCAACCACAACTTTATCTCATGCCAACATGACTCACTCCTCGGGAACTGTTTTTGACTTGGTTTCCCAATTTCAGCCTGGGATTGATCCTCCGTTTTTGCTTTCAACTTGACTATGTAAAGCATTTTTTGGCTGATCTATGTTGTAGATAGAGCACTTGTTTGTGGGTAGCCTATTTTTTGTGTGGAACCCGTGTTGTGGGTATTTCCTGTTCCCCTCTTTTCAACCCTTCTGTACTCAACTTTTAGCTCAATACAGTGAACATATTAAAGAAATGATGTTTCCTGGTGAAAATGACTTGGCTATATAGAATCATTGGATGACATGCATCTGTCATAGTTTTGTTTTCTAGCATGCCCAGAAAACTACTGCTTAGGTGCTTCTGATGAGGTCATGTGCATTATCGTTTTGGAAAAGGAGACATGAACTGATTTGATGCACAAACTGTGCCTGGTAGTCCTTAATATTCCTTTCAAGTAATGATAGCCAGCTGCTTTGTCATGCCAATTATTGTACAGGTAGAGAGTTTTCTGAGTATATTAAGGAGGGTAGGAGTTTTCTGAACCCAGTTAGAACTTAGAAGACCTGGTCAGGACTTAGAATCTGCTTTGCTTCTCAGCTGGGAACATTGCGTGTTCTGCTCGAAGCTGATGGTGTTGTAAATTGTCTCTGTTCGTGTATGGGATCTAATAACAACAAAATTGGAACATCGGAACATCTGCTAACAGCCTAGGGCTCCATCTTGAGAAAGAAAAAGCGTTCCCAACAACTGAGAAGCAATACATCTAAACTGCTTTGAGATGGTCCACACCAGTGACCTGCGACTGGTTAGTCTAATGTTCAACATCTCTTGCCCCTTATTCTGGAAATATATGCCTAATGTTCAACATATCTCACTCTTGCATATCATAGCATATATCCTTTATCACTAAAGATCATGGCTTACATTTTATAAACCATCATTTAAAAAACTATATCCCTTAGAGCTTATACTAGATTGGAATAAGATATCCCTTAGAGCATATAATAGATTGGAATAAGAATCATGACTGTTATCTTCGTTATTTTAGCTTTCCACAATGTCTAACAAAAACTTACTCCAAACGATCAAAGTTGTATTTGAGTCCCCATTGATGGATCGGCCGCCGATATTTCAGGAGGAGGTATTGGACTAGAAGATCCAATTTCTCCATTTGTTTAATAACTATTAGGGAGTCTTATAGAGGTTTGTCCAAATCATGAACTTCTGACAGCAAAACCATTCCCCAGCACCTTACATGGATGACTCAAATCTCCTCTCAAATGCCTGAAGTGTCATTCTTTAATGACAGAATTAAAAAGGATTTCATTGAACATCTCCTCCATGAACCTAAACAATAGTTTGCAAGAATGGTTAATTGAAATTCGGTCAGTCGCATTTGGGTGCAGATTCAATTCTTAACTGCTAGTTAATGTGCAGCAATTTCAAGGACTATTAGGTGCTTATTTGGTTTGCCAGTTGGGACAGCAAGGAGGCCTATGAGACTTAATAAAACAAATAGGCATGACTAAGCTCGAAAGGGGACGTATTGTGAGAAACTCCCGAGGTATGATCATTGCCTGCTTGAAAACATTGTTCAAAATTACTCCTCATTCTTCACCTTGGGTCCTATTGATCAAGGTCAACTACATTAAACATCAGTCAATCCCAGAGCTTTTAGTTTCATACAATGCTTCTAATGTATGAAATCGAATTGTGCGGGCAAATGGTGCATGTTATTCGTGGAACTACATGGATAGTTGGCAACGGTCTTACCATATCTCTTTGGAATGTACTACTCTGACAATCTAGGTTCCACCTAGATAAAAGGATTGCAAATGAATGTCTGAGGGTAGCTCTGGAGTTTTGGCAATAGATCAAACCTGGTCATCTCACAATTAAATCACTGCGCCACTGGATAATATTGTTAGGGAGGTTAAAAAAGATGGAAAAATACAAGTTGCTTGGCGTCTCACTTGATCCAGAGGAACCCAACATGGATTTATTGGGCGTCAAGGACAATTTACCCTCCAAAAGACTGTTGTCATCATGGCAAATTTTGCACCACAATTTCTTTGTTTATACAAAATTAAATTATAACACTGAGAGTATGCAATTTTAGAGTCTTCATTCTTCCCAGAATTTGTTAGTCATGACTCAGATAATACAAAATTTAGAGAATTAGTCAATTACAAGAAATTAGGATGTCAAGAATGTGGTGCTTGAATTATATGGTGTAACTTAAAATCTATTGTAGGTTGGTCGGTGGGTGTAGAGGCCTCACGGACAGAGGGTGGGAGCCCCCGACTCAAAAGTATGGGGCAATTAGGGGTGTTTTCGACTTATTTCTTTGGGGCTAAGTTAGGGTCTTGAGGTAATATGTGTGTAAGGTTTTTCTGTTTTTGGCTTTGCGATCACAATCTCTTGAAAGAGAGTTGTTTTGTATCTTTTGAGCAGCATATGAAGTCACCGCTCACCTTCGCCATTGAAAGTATTCACATCAGTAATAATCACATAAATCATGGGGTTTATGATGCATATCAAGAGATGGACGGATTCAATATTGTTATTTTGCTCAATTTCAGGGGACTTAATTATTTATTTATTAGTCAATTTTTAAGAATTTTATTTATTTTAGTGGTTAGGCTTTATTCCTAAGGTTTTTAAGTATTTATGGATGTCTTATGTTATTTAGAATGAATTTTATTTTTTGAAAGAAGAAAGTTTTTCTTCTCTTTGCTAGATTTACAGCCATGTTTGAGATTTTGATACTCAACAATTCCACAATCTAATTAAAGAAAAGTGAATGAACATCTTGCACCCTGTGCATATACTAGCATTGATAGTGAAGTAGGTGGTTCATACCACCTTCAACTCAGTGCATGCATGAGTGAAGTGGCGATCTATCCTGCGACAGTGGTAAATCAAAGTTGACTATACACATTTGAGAGCTACCATTGAGTTAGCCCTTGGGATCGTCATTGCCCATGGGCAAGTAAACTGGTGCTGCTGTCATTCATAGAGAGGTGAGTGACGCTCCAAAAAAGCATCATCAATGTCTCCATCTGGTTCCAGGAATGAGAAAGTGACTAGTACGCAAGCACTTTATGTGCCTACGGCTTCAATAATGCAAGCATCACTCATCACAGATTTGTATGATTCTTTTCCTCAAATGCTCCATCATGGAGACATTTGGCGGTACATCATATGCTCATATGGAATGTATGCAATATGGTGTGCTCATATGGAATGTATGCAATATGGTGGCTGAGGTGCAAACAAACTAAATGTGCCGGCTAGCCTTGCATGCCTGACTATTCCAAAACTTTGTCATTGGGCATGCCACTTATCATAAAGTAGTATGCACAATGATCATTACCTATCTATTTCTGAGGGTCTCCCTCTAGTGACAAGCCTAGATTGTGTACCCTTACCTCTGGAATGTCCAGGATGACGTTTAGATTTGAAAAACACATATAAAAGAAAGTAGGTTCCAACCATCTGAACATTTCCCTTCTAAGGATTTGGGCAATCCAAACATGGAAATTGCTCAGTAGTCTATGTCCCTGAATGTAAAAAAAGAAAATCATAGTGAATAAAATAATATGGATAGACATTTTGTTCACACATAGTTGCCCATTCTTAAAAGGAGAATTGTTTTCTTAAAAGGAAAATTGTTTCATGTGGGCTGGACCACATTTCTACATATGCGATCCAGAAAGTGTAAAGCATCCATCTTAAAGATGGATGCAACTAGGTGTTCCATCTAAAAACAATGGAAATTAACGATCCAAATGTTTCCTCACTAGAATTATTATTTTTAATCTTTAAACTTTATTTATTTTTTCATATTCATGATCTCCATGTTAGAGATTACATGTCCTTAAAAATTAAATATTAAAATCCATCTCAAAAATAAATTTATTAAGAAGCCCAGATTTCTAAATATGCGGGCTTGGCCACATAGAAACCGCGTCCTTCATAAAATGTACCATTCTTTTAACACTTCTTTGAGTCTTAACAAATCAAAAAATCCGACTTCGAAAAGCAAAAATTTAGTGCAACCAGATAGAGGTCAAGGCTAGTAATCAGCTTCGGATCAGATCTAGAGAGAGAGAGGGTCCTAATCCTCGCCATCAAGGAAGTGATCGCATCCCAGATGCGAAATCCCACATAAAAAATGGCAAGTGATCGTAATCTATAGTCCAACATTACTTGCAATCAGATGGCCTTGGCCCTACCAACATTGAAGGGCCACAACAAGACACAAATGGGGGTTAAAAGTATCAATTTAGGGATAAAATAGGTTTTTTTTCAAACACAATCAGCAGACAAGACCCTACCAATTGCGTTTGGATTTTCATGATGCCCCAAAAACATATACGGTTTTCCAAAACGGAATGTTTGGACTCCGGACACAGAGATATGCCCCTTGGAAGTTTTGAGGCTACACTATAACAGTGCGCAGCCTCGCTCGCACAAGAAAGAGCCTCTACAGTCAAGCTGCTGCCACACACAAAAGTGCGAGGCTAAAGACTCACCATAAACCACGCGGCCTCAAGGGATATGGGTAGGAGCTGCATGTAAACATATGAGGCTGCGTCCTCATTACAATTCCTGCTACCTCAGATACAATAGGGAAGCCACACTTATGTATGTGAGACCGTGGCCATACAAATAATAATGCATCTTCAAAGAGCAACTGAAAAGCCACACTAATCTAATGTGAGTTTGCAGTCGCATACACATTCGTGCGGCCTCAGGAACAGTGAATTGAAAATAAAACGTTGCATGTGCAGCACGTGCGCATCGCACATTCCACACGTGTGAATCCCTACCACACATGCATAGCACATGGTGTTGGCATGGGGGCGGCTGTCGGTCCATACCACCAGGCGTGCATCGTAGGTCCACTGAGGACCACATGCACTGCACGTGACTTGGTGCTCATTGCATGCGCAAATGCTACACATCAATGTAGGCGTGGTCCACTGCAGATCACCATGGGATCACATGGCTGAGCATGCCCCACATGCACGAGCAGGGCCGCACGGGCGTGGACGCCCATGGTAAGCCTTCGCAGTGGATCACCGAGGGACCAAGGCGGTCACAGTGCGCCCAACCCATGTTTTGGACTGCCCAAGTGTACCGTGAGCAATCCGTTCATGCCTACGCATCCGCAATGCGTCCTCGAACCAGATCTGACCCCCATTGAGGCAACAAACGTCTGAAAATCCCCAAAAGAAGTACGAAGAGGGACAAACAAATCCAGAAAAATCATTTTTTTGTGTTTTCGTGCACCAACGGCATCGGTTATCAGATTCGAAGGCAGATTTCTTGGTAATTTTGTTCTTTTTCAATTATAATGGCATGAAACCGAATTGATTTCTGATATGCATGTTTTGAGCCTTAGTCGTTACTCAGCTACTCTCTCCTACAACTTCATCGTATGGCTCATAAGTTTGATCATTCGATAGTTCGCTCAATCATGTATGTCCCCTTTGTTCTTATCAATAGGTACCACCGTACATTTTCTTTGTTCTCAACACCTTATTGACTTGATCAGCCAATATATGCCAATCTCCCACACGTACTTACCAAACCTTTATTGAGATATTATCTGGTCCTAATGCCTTTTTTATCTTCATCCTCATCAAAGCTTCTTTCACTTCAGATATTCTAATCATACGAATGTAAATATGACCTCCACCCTCATTTATGCCAAAGGTGCCTCGTAGCGCTTTCTTCTCATTGTGTTCATCATTTAACAATTGTTTAAAATAAACTCTCTACCTTTCGATAACCTCATCATCTTTTACCAAGACTTAATGATCATCGTTTTTAATGCATTTAATATGGTCTAGATCCCTATACTTCCTCTCTCTCATTTTTGCCAGTTTGAAAGCATCTTTTCACCTTATCTTGTTTCTAGTTTATTGTATTATTATATGTCCTAAGTTTAGCCTTATTATTTTCTTAGCGTTTTTCGTAGCATTTTCATGTTCTTCTAAGTATTGATCATTTCTATTATAATGGCAAGTTTTATAGTATGATTATTTTTTACTGATGCCCTTCTGAACCTCATCAATCCACCATCAAGTTTCCTTATAAAAAAAAAATATCTATATATTTTGCATATTTGTTACATAAGTATAAAAATATCTATATATTTTGCATATTTGTTACATAAGTATGTGTTTTTTCGTTTTTACACTTAAGTCCCTTCATTTCATCAGATTTTTATTTTTTAAAAAAATACCCTCGAGTTAGGAACTTGAAGTTTATTGTTATGTTTTTGTAAAGACCAGGCTCGGCACTTGAAGCGTTGAAGACACTTATTAATTTTTTTTATTTCGTTCTTTGCTATGGATGGGTTCGAGGCTTGAAGTGAAGTTTGAACCACCTTTTTTAAATAATAACATGTGTTCAGCACTTGAAGTGCCCAACCCACTTGTTTGATTAAAAGCATGGGTTGGGCATTTCAAGTGTTAAATTGTAAGAATACGATGCTCCCACTACACACTTGCTCCTTATGGCAAAACAACTATTTACTATGCTTTTTTTTATCTAAAATTTTGGGATTCACTTAAAAATCACTTGATGGTTATTTAAAAAGAGAAAAGGAAAGAAAATTGGGGGTTGAGTCCTTAAACACTTAGGCCGTTTGGGTACCTGAAAATATATTATAGGGAAATCGATTACTAAGAAATATGACATTTACACTATTTGTGTACGCTTTATTAGTAAGGAAATGAAAAATGTACACTTTATTAGTAAGGAAATGAAAATAGATTACACAATATTTTTCCAAATATCGTGAAATCTATTACACACGGGGAGGGCTGGGAAATCTTTTACGTGCGTAACAGGTAATCTATTGCTTGCGCCCTCCCTTTATTTGCCAATAAAAAATAGTACCATCTTAAAAAACCATTTCCCTTCTCTCTTGCCCACATCCTCTTCTCCCTCTCAAGCTCTTCTTTTCCCTTTCAACTTGGTAAGCCCACCACCTCCCTCTCTCTCTCCTCCTTGTCTCTCTCATATTAAATCATTTGCATCTCACTCTCTCTTTCTACCATAAGATGTGGCCTTTCTCCCTTTAAGCTCTCTATCATATTTTGATGATTTTTTTCCAGCTGGACATCTAGAAAGATAGAGAAGAAGAAGCATCTCCACTTTTTTCATTGGGTATCTTTTTGGTATAGATCAGAGGCAATGAAATCCAAAACCAGTAAGTTCTTAGCTCTCAAAATTTTGGTCTTTTGTAGCCCTAAAACCTTGATTTTTCATTCTTTGTTATTCTCCCTCAAATCTTAACACCAGCTAACAACCCTATTATATTTTGGATCAATAAGCAATATAAGAAATCGAACTTCCAAATTTTCAAGGGTTTTTTTAACTTAGAATTGAAAATGTTTGTTTGTCTCAATTTCATCTTTTCCATTCATATTTATCTCAAAATGTTCCTAAGATATTGATCTACAAAAGCCCTAATGAAGCTTTTTGAATAAGGGGTCTTAGGTTGTTGATCAACTGCTAAAGCCAAATATCACCAAATGAATATCTTTTCATGTTATTGTGCATCATTTGCTGTTTGTGGGTCATGATTGTAATGTATCCATTGATTGCCAACAGCTAAAGCATTTTATGGAAGGTGTGTTATTGCAAATCTATGTAATTTTTTACTTGTTGAATTGTTTTGTTGTGTGTGGGTCATGATTGTGATGTATAAATTAATTACTAAATTGTGTGTGGGTCATGATTGTAAGTAATATTTCTGGTAAAGCGGCTTTTATCTTTTTAATCATGATGTCTTTAAATGTTTCAGTTTGTTTGTACTCCTTGTTAACTTTGCTAAGTTCATCATACACTTTATTCAATCAACTTTTTCAAATGAACCAAATATTGCTATATATAAGACCTGTTATCTTTATGATTGCACGAGAATGGACATACATTTTCGAGGCTTGAATTTTGAGGCGTCATATATGGTTCTTTTGGGAAATTCAGTATTGAGTTCATGGTTATTGTCGTGAGGTTAGTATTATAAGTTGTTTATGCTTGCTCCAGTATGATTTGGTCTTGAATATCATGCAATCTTAAGTATGATTGTGGATGTTTAAAGCTCATTTAATTTTTTTTCTTGTTTGTACTGTTAGCCACTGTAGTCTGGAGCAGAATTTTGAGTTTGTAGTGGTAACTAATTATTTGATGGAAGTGGAAGACAACATATCTTTAGTATTTTGCATATAGTTTCATTTTTTGATTGGAACATGGTGGTTCTGAATTATGAAATTATACATCTTGCTGAATGTTTCTTTTTGTCTATCAGCAGTCTTGGGTGCTGACGATAATGTCCCAATGGGTTTCTTGTGAGCATTCAGGTTTAAGGTAGGAATGACCACGGTAGAACTCGATTCTTTGTGCTCTGCTCTTATTCCTTGGAATGTGATTAGTACTCTATGGACTTTTAGAAGCATTACTCTGTATCCTTCAAACAATGCAATTTGTCGGTTTCCCTTTACCGTAGGAGTAAGGTTATGTTCTTGCCTTGTAGTTTATGACCAAATGTTGAATAAGATTTCTTTTCTCAATAAAAAAGTGGATTTTGGTGCAGGCTTGATTTGGGAAATGACTCAATCTTGGGTAGATATTGAAAATTTACCATCAACTTCTGCTTCGCCTTCTAATTCACCACCTGTTTTTGCTCAATATCAACCCAATTCGTGCACAAGGTTTTCTCTTTGCTTCTATTTGTTGTCTAGAGCTTGTTGACTTCTATATCTTATTATTGCACAGTCAGCGAATTAATGCTTTCTTCAGATTTGTTCATAGTTGAGCTTTATTTATTCAATTCTTGTTTGAAGTTTTAAAAATGTTGCATTTGGAATATGTTTAAAAACAATTATAGGGTGGATGCATTTTTATTTTCATGAATGTCTATAGGACGACATTTTTCGGCCAAGTACTGCCCTCTTATGCCTCCTCCTAGGTCAAACTATTGCTGCTGCCTTCAGTCCATATGGGAAAACTCTTACTTCCACACAGTAAGATTATAATGCTCTTTGCCTACTCTATTATTCATTGATGCCGGACTTACTGATACTGAGTCCATTTATCATCCCCTTGCTTGCAACAGTGACCACACTGTCAAAATAATTGATTGTCAAATTAGAAGCTGCTTAAAGGTCTTTAGTGGTCATCGTAGAACTCCTTGGGTGGTATGTATGATCTGCTATATTAATGGTTTTCTTTAATTTGTCTCGCATAAAACTAGGTCTTTGTTATGAAGAGGTCGTTTAGATTGTAGCACCTTAAAAACTTTGGCTTTTGGCTTTGTCTTGGCATTAGGTAGTGAACCTTATAAGGGGTGTTGTTCTTGCTCGGGCATCCTGATAGCTGTCTAGGTGATTCGCATTGGAAATCACCATGCTTGGCCCAGGCATTTCAATGATTGTAGTTGTTTAAGTTGGCGTGGAACCTGGCCTAGTCCTGAATTGGGACTCAGCCTGGTCCCAATCTGTGTATATCTCTGCAGGGACTCTTATTTGCGTGAGGATACATGTGCGTGTTTGTGTCGGTATGTTGGCTGGAAATGGTGGGGGGAGAAATCCTCTAAGATGTTCAAATTGGTGCTGCATTTGAAGAGTTGAAGAAACCGGTAGCAAACCCACATATACGAGAGGTCTACAAAGCTCTTAAACAAGTCCACGGCCTTGCTCTTCCTGTCTTCATGCAAGCATATAATAAAATGATGGCAGACATAAATATTACTGAGGGATTCTTAGAAATGACTGAAGAAGATCGGGTGTTTTGAATTAACTCGAAGTATTTTCAAGAGGGCGGTGACATGTAAAGTGGAGTGAATTCCACAATTTTTTTATATGGGTTCCTCTCTCTCTCTCTCTCTCTCTCTCTCTCTCTCTCTCTACTACGTTAGTTACGTTACGTTAGTTAGTTAGTTAGTTTACGTTACGTTACGTTAGTTACGTTACTTACGTTACTTACGTTAC